AACAAGACCAATTAAAATGCTTCAGTTCGATCTTCTTTTGCTCATATATTTTTTTTGTCTTATTAGTACCAAATTAACTAGACAGCAGTATGGGAGAGACTAGCCGTCATTTGCTAAAAATCACTCACAAGATCAAAAGTGTGGGTAATACAGAAAAGGGAAGGAACACTCAATTTCAACATATTAATATATAATATAAATATGTTGGCACAATATACTGAAAATTATTATAGAATAGGAAACAGTACAATAATGAAAGATGAATAATAAAACATAACAGACAACTTGTTATACAAAAAAACTCAATACATAAGTGAAAGTAATTGAGATAGCTCAAATAATAGGCGCTTTTAAACAGAGAATGGATATTAGTAAAATTTTTTAGTTTTAAACTTATATTTCTTTATTAGTTTGATGAAACTTTATACACGCAAACATATGAATGTTTTTGCAGTAAATTGTGACAAACAAAACTTTTTAGAAATGATATAATACTTAGACGTGTAATAAAATATTTTTATGTAAAGTCTTCATCAATTATTTTGATTGTAACAGAATACATAAAAATCTATAGGCAAAGTTGGAATTATACGGAGATGCTGAGTCTGACCGGAAGCCCCAATTCTTTTTCTATCGTCTTGCTTTCATAAAATGATTTTTTTACCACTTATAGTGTTCACATAATTCTAATGAACAGGCAAGTCTAAGGAGTCTCTATCTTATGTAAAATCAAAATAATCAGTCTTGAAAAAAATATTTTTCTACTTACAAACAGATTTTTTTGAAGATTTTGATTTCACATGAGATAGCGTTCATTAGCATTATGCAAACACTGTAAGTGGTAAAAAAAAAAACATTTTTTTCTGATGTATTATGGAAGCAAGATGATAGAAAAAGAACTGGAGCTTTCAGTCAAACTGAGCACCCACAGTCTTTGATGATTGAGGGTGTATAGACTTTCCTGGCTAGTATTTCCGAGATCATGTCATCATTCAAAGAAAATAACAAGAGAAAAGTCACTCCTACAAGTTATTACTGTTGTACTGATCTACTGTCAAATTGTATAAAAACAGAAAGGTGAATATGTATATATTCTAGTACATTTCATTCGATCAATAAAATCTGAAGAAAGCACCACATTGATTGCTGAAAATACATAAGAAGAAAGAGAATATGTTACTAATAATGAGATTTATTTAAACAATAATAGGAGCATTATATCGATGGAAAAGATCTTAATACTGTCCACATATAAATTTTAACCAAAACTTAAAGGTGATTAATTTGAAATGCCTATTAAAGATTTTCTGCAAGTAATTTTACTGTTTTACCATTATTTAAACTATCAAGAAGGGTCTTAGCAATTTTTCTTGAGCTATAATGATAAACAGCATCAGAATCTTTTGGTGGTCTTGTCACTAAAATATGTGCGACAGTTGTAGATTCATTACTCCTACGTTGATGTTTATATCTCTGTCCACCTATTTGCACTTGAAAATTAACATAGTCACTATTTCCAGTAAAATTCTGATCATCTAAGCGTACAGTATCTGTTTGCTTTATTGTACCCGCCTTAAATGGCTGAGACGTGATTACCACTAGTTTATCATTTTCATTCCTTAATTTTTTCATAGCTTCAGGTATTAATTTATATTTTATTTCTTTTTCTAGAACCATCCTGCATTACAGTGATAGGATTGAAGATGTAAAGGTTTTTCTTTGCTATACCACCTATCATCTGATTACGTCTATTCAAATCAATCTCCCATCTACCTCTAACATATTTTTCTGAATGTTTAGCAGTATAACGGCGTAGTGATACTCGTTCTTGTCCTATAATATTTTCATTTACTTTTCTACCTAATGATTCATGATAAGCTATTAGCAAACAATCTTTCCGTTCATTGATCTGTATATATGTTTCTGTTCCTCTACCAGTAAAATAATGTCCAATATCTCCATTTTCACCTGCTTCATAATAGATTTTAGCAGATTGTTTAAAAAGATCAGGTATTTTTCTTACTCCTGAGGGATTTATTGTTTCTTTTTCGTCAGTATCTGAATTGTAAACAGTTATTTTTCTTCTTTTACGATCTGCTAACATTTTTATATCAGCTA